TTCCACTGTAAGTCATAGACTAAGTACACTGAAGGAAAAGCCTCGAACACAAGAGTTTTTGTAAAGCAAGCTTAACACCTGGGGCGATTAACTCTGACCAACTAAAAAAGTGAGTTTGTCCTGCGTATCTGGTATTCAGTTAGACTGGTAACTCTGATTTATATGAAAGAAGAGTGGTGTTGTTTACTGAGTAAAAAAAGATGAGGCTAGGGATAACGCCACTGGTTATTAATTTGAGTCATTCTTTGCGATAATACGGAAGCTACATAAATCTTATTTTTGATGTCAATGGAAAGACCCTCACTTTGCAACCAATACAAATTTAGTAGAACCCTTCAGTATATGAAAATCGAAATAAATTACAGAAATATAGGCATAGTTGGACGATGACTAGCACGGAAGTCTAAGACGCATTTTGTTATATTTGGGATTACTCAGTTGGATGTAACTGCATCCCACAGTTGATGTTTACTATGGGACAGGATGTACATACGCCAAAGCAGGCTGATCAGTTGCAATCGTAAACATCAGTAGGATGATTTAAAAAACATACAAATTAGTAATGAAGTTTTTATGATGTGTCAGCATATAAACGACAATAATATAATGATTACGTGATTTGGTTACCACATACAAGTTTAAACATATGGTTTAGAGCCATATCTTCATGTGAGATCTATTAATTTCATCCGGCTGCTCACTCTGAAATGCGTTGAACTAGGTTAAAATATGCAACCTCACAGCTCTAAGTAGATTAAATTGCTGTTCAGCAGTGTTAAGAGGGACTACCAGCATTTAATTCAATAACACACAAGTAAGTTAAGTAGCAAAATTGCCATCAGAAATGCAATAAGTGAAAATAAATTCTAAATTCTTGATTCACATATCAAGGTAGATATAATAATGTTTATTTCTGACACTAGAAGTAACCATTAGAAAGTGAAGTCAAGTAAAACTTACTGACAACTTTTTCTCTCTATATAGGGTAGATGAACCCTCAATTTGTACAGCAAAGGTTATTTCTTTCAGAGCCTGTGATAACGAGTTCTGATTAAGTTGTGTAGAAAAGTGACAACCCTTACTGGACTTGAATTTCTTGACAAAACCTCTGCATACAACAATCTATAAGCCGGTAAGGAAGGAAAATACTGATCAGTAAAATACCTTTACGATACTCAGCTTACCTTTATAATGCTGTGTGACTTTTGTATCGCTATATCATGATTTCCACAGTTTGACAGTATAATAATCTCAACTGAAATAAATGTTGAACTGACTGGAAAAAGAACACATACTGAGTATAGTGTCGACAGATACGTTTCCTGTCAAAGGAAATAGTTTTGCTTTTCCTATTAAATTGTGGGAAAAATTCTGTCACATGAATAAAATGTCATTTCTTACTTTTATGCTTTCGTCACTACATAAGAATTCACGGTTGAACTGGATTGTACATAAAGGTATAATTGTTTTATCTGAAAGTGTGTCTATTATTATAAGGTTACCTTTCACAGCCAAATAGCACTCATCAGCAACTTCATGCCAGCGAAGTAGGATACTGTTAATTGACTAGGAAAGAAAACTTAGAATAACTCGGTTAAACTCACCGTAGTAAGATACTTATCGTATGTCCATGGCAGGCTAGATACATTCCAGTAACGCATAAACTCATTCTCTAGTATGCATTTTCGAGGAATAGTGTAGTGTTCAGCTAATTGCCGGATAAAGTTGGTAGTTTTCTCCACAAATGAAAGGTGTGATATAATAGATTCTTGGAAACCGATGTATTCCCACTTATAGAGGTTATATGATTTTGAATCGACAGAAATCATTTTCATAGAATTTTCTAAAGCACGCAAGGCATACCAAAAGACAATAAGCAAAACAGCTGGTTGTAATCTCATTTGTAGATAACTTGAACATCACTCTGGAAATCGGTGTAAGCACATATCTCTTAATAAAGGTCTACCAAGTTAACTGAACAAATAGAAAAAGAAAAATTTTCATTGGAAAACTGAACGTTTGGTGCATTAAAAAACGTAGACAATCGTTTAGTGTATTTCAAATCAACTTCTGAGAAAAAAATTTACAAGTAGATTAAAATGAAGATGCAAAGAGAAACATAATACTTTAGGAAGTTTATTTACTAAGTAGACAGCTCGTTACAAATGATAATTAATTTTTATCTTAGATGCAGATAAGGTTAAAACTGATTTACCAAGACGATTGTCGTAGTTAATCTGGTTTTAAAACGTTAATATTACTCTATATCATATGAAATTCTGGAGCCTGAAGGTTGGCCTCACTCAATAACTGTAAGAAACGGTGTGCATATCATAACAAAATCGGGTTGGTGGATTAAGATCTAGGTTTACTTACAGTCAGCTAGTCACATACAATTTAAGATTTGACAGTGATGTTCTCTGGTCTTGGCTGCGAAATCATATCCACGATAGAATTTTAGTAGGATTAAAAATAGAGAGCAAAATATTGATATCAATGAAACCGATCAAATAAATACAAAAGATATAATTTAAAAGGAAGGAATTAAGGGGGGAATTGAAGTAAAACTGGAACCAATTTGTAAATAAGAATCAAAAACGTACATGTGACTGAATAGGACTGGTTTTTCGGTACGTTAATTAATATCTTAAATCACGGGTACAATTAGCACGCCACCACCGAACAGAATGTCTTAATATTCACAGAGATGCTTCTATGTATGCCCTCAAAAGCCAGGTTTAATATACATGAAAAATACACAGGGAACTCCAGTACAGTATGCTTGCCGTCTGTGAAGTAGATGGATTCTTCACCTGCCCATCACGAGGTACAAATTGACGAATGCTTTGTGGGTCACTGATGACTATTTATGGAATTTCATACGAACACATTGAATTCATACGACTGTACACTCATTTTGGATCCTAGTATTTGACTGTCAAAGGAATAAACCCCATTCTGTTAGTTGGCTTGTGCTTAGTTGTGCAACTGACTCAACGCCCTGTGTGTGAATCCTTCTAATATTTCTTTGTTTGGTTGCCGATTTATATATCCATCTGTTGATAATTTTTGATTAATGTTTTGATCTACATGAGAAACAACTAAATGACACTGGACATTTCGCAGCTACCTCAGCACAATATGTATTACGCCGATCTAATTCAATCTTAGATTCAATTTATTGCTACCCAACTCCCGAATATCCCAATGCTAGTTTCAAAATGAATTCATGGCAATTAAAAGGAGGTTTATTTCTGGAATTAATCCAATACTACTACTATTTCAGTCCAGTTGTATCTGCTCAATACTACTATACTTTGAATGTTTATTACTAATATGTACCACTGTCAATTTAGTTGATTATATATTCAAGGGTATTTAAATCCAAGTTTTCATGTGTCCTATTTCTCTGTTATCAAGAAAAAGATAAAAAAAATATAGCACTAGTACACGAAAGTACTGTAGCCAATAGACTTGATAATCGAGAATTAATCCATTGATTTTTCATCAAGAAAACTCTAAGGGCCGCTAGCAAACAATTTTTAAGTAATTTATTTGCGTATTAAAACAACCATAAATCTTATGAATTTGAATCTTAAAATGATGAATAGATAGATCATTTGGGCTTGCATAGGCTTGACACATTGGAAACACACCTTATAATTTTATCTAAGAAGCAATTACAAGCTCTTACGGTAATAGGTTATTCGCTACAGTTTTCTGAACCTCAAATCGACATTCTCTTAGTTGGAAATTAAAATATTAATCAAAGTGAGCAGAGTTAAATTTCACAATTTGCCGAAAAGTGGAAGTATGGTGTGTATCAACGATAAATTGTATACATAAATCCTAATCAGCAAATTCACTCAAATTTTCCATTTTTAAAGCTTTGAACTTAAAACCTGGACATGCATGATTACGTCTAAATGGAAATGGTATGAAAATTAAGTCTCATACCCATTGTCTGGAACTTACAACTGTACTGTAGTAATATGAGAAGAGGTATTTATCAAAACCATGTGCCATATATACGTACCTAACACATATTACGTACGAACAAACGTATGTTCACTACGTGCATAAGTTTACCTTGAAGGGATATTATAAATTAACCTAAATATTAAGGTAATTATGTGTACTATGTAGTACATATAAAAACATTCACTGAAATAACAACAACTAAGTAATTTGCGCTGAGGGGAGAAACATCTTCAGGTGTTACCGTGCGAAAATCTAAAAGATGCGCGCAAATCATAAGGGTTGTTGTTCAGTCTAAGCTGTCGAAAAACAAAATCTTCTCTACCGAAATGTGGAATTCATCTATTTTGATCCCAAGCTTTACTGATGGCCATCATGAAAGATACTATAAGCTTTAAGTCTTCAATAGTGAGAAAAGGAGGTCTATCGACCAATATTAACCCTTGAAGTTTGCAACACGGTGAAGGAATAGTTTCGCTTTGAATATATCAATGGGTGTTGGAATAGAATTCCAGTAACTCACGCCGACCAAACCAATGCGGGAGATTGTTTACTTTGTTTTTAATTGGTTAGAATAGTTGCAATATCCAGGTGCTGAATTGCTTCCACAAATAATCTATCACAAAAGAAAAAGCGCTAGTCTGCATTATGAACATTAGACATTTTCAATGCTTAGAAATAAATCGTATGCTGCAAAACCCAAATAGCTGGTATTTATTGTCATCACATTGGAGTTAGTCACTTCTGTGTTATCGCACTAACAATGTCTACTTGCAAGACGACATTCGAAAACATCACTCTTAAAAGTTTCTAGAACCCCGCAAAGTTGCCTAGGAGGACTGTTATGGTATGGTCAAAAGTGCAATAATCTTACTCAACCCTTCGTTCTCTCATGGAAGACAAGCTCCAACACAATCTATTGCTTTAGAAGCAGCAAACGTGAGCTTTAGTCAACGATAAACAACAAAGAGTATTATAAATGAAGTCATTTCTGATAATCTTTTGTGAACAAATAAATAGCTATGCGAGAAAACGTCGTTGTTGAAACATGTGTTGAAGAATGTCCCAGGTAAAACAGAAGACATGGACAAGTGGAAACTTTAATCAGAGGACTGGGTTTTCTGAGATAGATGTAAAGCAAAAATTTGGAACGGCAGTGAATCATTTGAATCCAAGCCGAATCATCAATCCGTGCAAACCCATAAATACCTCCATTGGTTTACGGCTTGGAAAAAGCCAACAAGCATGTGGGAGCGAGTTATCAGAAGCCTATGTGATGAAGATATCATCAGCTTTGAAATGAAAGACATTCATGTCACTCTGTCAGTCATACACTTAAACCAAGCACATGTGCATGGGTGGCTCTCCGCCATAAAACTGGGATTAAATAAACCTGTTGAGTGGCACCACATAGAGTAAGGTCCCTGCAACCCTAAAGTCACCAGGCTGTTCCCGTGTTTGACCGATTGTTTTGGATCAGTAAAAGTAGTGCAGGGTTTCTTAAAATATAGTTCGGACCACTATGTTCTTATCTTCGTGAGCGAACTCCCATAAAGGCAGACTCAACAACTCTCATTTACCCCAAGTGCATCAGAAAGTAGACATTAGTCAGAAGTAGTAGAAATTTTCTAAAGTTCTGTGGAGGCTTTGTAATGATAGGAGAATTGATGAGATGTATTAAAGAACACGAATGACCGTAAATACCTTAAGACTCCTCCTACAATTATGCACCTATTTGTGTCAATATTCCATGCATACATCTCCACTTTGTAGCATTGGTTTGTTTCGGTTTCTTATATGCTTCTATTTCCCTTTATATTCAAGTGCATTTTGTCTATCGGTTCGTTCGAAATGATCGGCAGTATATCACTTGGGATCTCTGAATCATGAACAACTCTTTCGTGTTACGCAGGGTTTTGAATACTGTCTTGATATTACTTTTTGACAACTCATTGTTCTTTATTACTTCATTCTCTTAACTGTAGTCTCTAATCACATTTTACTCTATTAACAAGAGCTAGTATGAGTTTAGTCTAATAATTTATCATAACTTTGTCTGTTTCACTACAAGATGTTAAGTAGTTCAGCATTTACTTTGGGTGAAGCATAAATCCATCTAAATGTTCTTCGGATCTGTTACACAAACTCAATGAGAGATCGTAGTAAGGTGTACCGATAGACTTAAACAAGCTGGATATCATTACTGTTACAGAACAGTGGCTGATGACGTCTTTAAGCAGTACAGAACTTGGTTTTGAGAGTTTCAGACGAGTAAGATCTGACAGAATTCAGATTCAGAAAGGAAGAGGAGTAACTCCATTCGTTGGAAATACTATCTCATTTACCGCTATTGATAACATATCCTATTAAAGTGTAACGTAAGAATCAGTTAGTTACCGCTCGAAATGCAAAGGATAAGAGCTGTTGATTGGTTTGGTTTTCCACAGTTCAAACTGTAAACTGAATGAGATCTTTCTAGGCAGTCTCAACACTTGGTCATCAAATGGTCTGTAGAATTATGGTCTACTATGATATTAGTAGTGCTCTAATAATAGACCTAGTCCTAAATTTGTAGATTTGTCATGATATAACTGCCTAATCTATAAGATCTTACGTGGAAGTCACACCATCGACTACACCAACTCACTGTATCGTATCAATTACCAATACATGATGTAGAACAAGGTTAGGCTAGAGAAAGAACAATATATTTAATATGAATAGAAGATATAAGGTAACATTCCGCAGAGACCACGCCTGCATGGCCGAGCCATGCCACTCGATCAACTCCAGTCCATTCAATTCATTATTCGCGCCTTCTCCATTGTTAGGTATTTATCCGCGTTAAATATTGAATATCTATTTTCTGAGTAGTCTCGTGTTCAGCTTAGTGGATTGTGCGGTTATTGTTCAATGCCACTACAGGTCTATGTTTAATCCTAGGAGAATTTGATTAACCTACAGTTGACCCGAAAAATATGGGAACTGGATTATTAGCGAATTCCTTCGGACAGAAACTACTTGATGCGATCATAACATGTGCTCTAGTGCAACATGTAAAAGAAGCAACTAGGTACAACCCAGACTCCAAATCATCCTTACCGGATCTAATATTGACCCAATGTGATGATGACTCCACAGATCTCAATTATATGCCACCTCTAAGTAAAAGTGACCATGCATTTTTGCCTTTGATTCTCACATAGTTTTCAATTACTAGGATGTGCCATTCCAAGCAAAATCAAATATCCGAGAAGCAAATATACAAGATATTATGCACTCATCATCCTCAGTAAATCGGTCATTAGAACCAGAGTCCCCGATTGAAACGACTTTGGATGTGTTAAGAAATTCATAAATAAGAGCACCGCAAATCCCTCGGACCACGTCAAGAGACCCGAAAATTTCTTCACCCTATTTTAGTGAGGAATTTCGCTCCCTGCTCTTTAAGAGGAAGAAAATGTGCTGTAGATTTAAGTCACTGGATACTCGTGAGACGAAATCTCAATATCAGGAAACTCAAAACATTCGCGTCTTTACCCTTCTCAAGTCTAGAAGATTTTAAGAAGAAAAACATGCTGAGAAATCTATAGAATACCCTAAACAAGTATAATCGTGCATAGACCAAAGGACTAAGAGAAGAGGAAGTTCTCCAGCACTGGATCATTAACGAAGGACCATTATGGTAGGGCTCAGGTGTTCTCAAACTACTTTATCAATGTAAATACTGTAGAGATGTCCTCCACTTCAGTTCATAAAGTCCTCCTACAAATTGGGCACTGCAGCTATTAAGGAGTTTCACATCTTCAGTTTACTAAATAATCTTGATATAGACAAATCCATGGAACCTGATGAAATGCGTCATAGGTTACTAAAGGGTTTAACAAATTTTGTCTCCAATCCCTTAAGCATATGTTTTAGTCTGTCTGTAACCCAGGATCGGTTACCAAATGACTGGAAGAATGCTATAGTAAGTCCTATAACCAAAGCAAGTGCGAGACATGGACCTGAGAACTATCGACCTGTAAGCCCAACCAGTGTGGTTCTTAAAACTCTGCGAAAGATTATCCAGAAGTTTTTTAGTTATTTAGATTAAAGCCAGATTCTTTCTGGAAAGCAGTATGGCTTTAGAACAGGTTAGTCATATCTCGATAACTTATAAGATGCCTGTGAAATTCATTGCTCTCTTAAAGAACAGACGTTATTCGTAGATGTAACCTATGTTGACTTCAGTAAGGCCTTTGGCAAAGTCCCTCACAGCCGATTGTTATCTAAGTTCAGTGATATCGGGAATGAGGGCAATTTATTTACTCGGAAAAGCGACTCCCTAATTAGGCGTCAACAGGAAGTGCAGGTGAACTGAAAGTTGTCTAACTGGGAAACTGTGCTTATTGAAGTGCCTTATGGTACAGTTTTGAGGTCAGTGTTGTGAATGACATTCCTAATCTCCTGTCATCATCCCTTTCATCAAATGTTGACAACGTCAAGATACGGAGAGCTATAGTTAGTGGAAGTGATAGTCTGGAAATTCGAAATAGCTTGGAGAAATTATGTAAATATTCTAGAAGCGCATTGAAGCGCATTTTCGGCCATTTTGATGGAAGAACTTTCCATATAATCTTCAATAGTTTTATCCGTTCCCATTTATACTACGGAAACATAGTGTTTCCCCCCTCATTCCAAAAGGATAAGGACACTCTGGAGTGTATCCAACGGCGAGCCACGAAATCAGTTCGAGGACTCAAATTTAAACTTTACGAAGAGCGCCTCCATTCACTTAACCTTTACCCATTAGAGTATAGATGTCTCAGAGGTGATCTTTTGATGGCTTATAGTATCCTTAACACTGCTGGACATCCTCTCAAACACCTACTTAAGCTTGGTTCCAACACTAACCTAAGAGGTAACACCCAAAAACTGGAGACACAGTATATCAGAACGGACTGTAGACACAACTTCTAGTCCTTATGAGTTGTCAAATGCTGGAATTTGCTGCCGGCCGAGCTAGTCCAAACGACTTCCCAGGAGTCCTTTAAGAGGCGACTTGATCTATTCTTAAGGACTAAGGATAGTGTCACACTATGATTTACTAATTTCTTTTTCTTTTTTATTGTTAACATGCCTAGGTTCCTGCCTGGAGGATTTGGTGATCCCCTGCTACTAGACACAGAAGCCTGTTAAGCGAAAGCTTCTTCTATTCCGTCCACAACCATTTGAACCATTTGAACCATTTAGAATTTGGAAATTTTCAATAAATACATCCAAGTGGATCGTGATACATATTGGTCACCGAGGTACAGATACATACACGGTGAATAACAGTGAGCTACTTATTTTTCAGTCAGACAATGTCCTAGAGGCCATCGTTGACCAAGACTTAAAGGCTGTTTCACACTGCTGTGCGATAGTCGCCGAAGGTTTTAGAACCCTGTGTTCAATACGCAGGGCCTTTAGCCATGTCGATGCTAAAACCTTTTGTGTTTGTATACAGTATTCGTGCGTCCTAAACTCGAGTACTGCATACAGGCAACTAGCCCTTCTCAAAAAGGAGGGTTCAAATAACCGCAAAAAATACTGATTGCTGGAATAGCAAAGTTCCCGAATGTTGCTCGACTGGTTAAACTAAATCTACTTCCATTGTCACATCAAAGAACCAGAGGCGATCTGATGACAGTTTTTAAATGACTTGTTGATAAATTCGCATCTCATACGACTTCACTTTTCTTGTCTTTCGAAACAGAGAAATTGCGACGACTTCAGAAATGTTCACACGCCTTGAACAAATTACTCGTCACCTGAATATCGACTTTCACATCGAATCATGAACGAATGGGATTCATTACACTGATACACGAATGAGGCTCCATCTGCAGACACTTTTAAAAGAAATTTAGCTCAGCTTTGAGACCATCATTGCCAGCACCAACACAGGTCACCTAGTGTCCTGTTCTTTTATGATGATTAGAATTATTATAATTAATTTGCTAGCTAGGAATTCCCGAAACAGTGTAATTTAAGCCAGACAAAACTAGATGAACACGAACAAACGTATTGTATTTGGAATTCGTAATAAGCAGGTGATCAAGTACAAATGAATCATTAGTTCTTACAAATGCCACAAGTTTCCACACTGAAACTGATTGAAACAAATGTGTTTAAGTATTTGTGGTTGAGAGCATAGTCAAGGGTTATCGTACAACTTAGTTGTACTCTATTACCCTAACTCCTGAAACTTAATCTCAACACAAGGGTTCCCAAGTTTTTAGCCAAAATAACGCGAAGGTATCCGAGTATTATATTTAAGCCATAATCTTAACAACTAAAATCCAACGTCTATTATCTAATCCTATATTTCGCCTTTTAGCTGATGTTATTTGATGATGTGAACTCTGAGGGGTTATAATCCGCACTCACAACAGTAGTTTTACTTAATATATGAACTTTATCTTTTCTTTAACTTTATAACTGGATTGTTCGTTATTTATTGAACAATCCAACATATGAGGTAATTATTTTTAATAAATAATAAAAAAGTTGTTTAAACAACTGTTATACTGTAACTTTACTACTTTTTGCTGTCAGTTGTATTATAAATTTTCTCACATACGGTAATGCTCTTATATAAGTGGTACTTATCAAGCAAATGTGATAAACCAGTTTGCCCGCGCTCAAACTGAACAAAGACCTTGGATCTATTCGTTAGGTCGTTTACTACCTGTCTGTCTCAGGGTAGGGTGTTATTCCGTACTTTACGTCATTCCCCATCATTTCGAACTATGTTTAAATTCTCATTGGAGTTGCTTCTATCTTAATCTGAATGATTTCTGTTGCTGTTTTGTGGAATCGTAACGTCTTGAGTCTATATATGTTGGTGACGGATCCTTAATTAACTTTTCCCAATTTATGTTATCCTGAGTAACTCTACGGTACTACCTCTTTATATTCACTGTTTTTAAAGGTATAACAAACTTCATGTAAATCGGCTTTTTTTATTCTGCTTTTTCAACAAAAGCACGTACGTAACAGGCTTATGTATCGCGTTTGTTGTTACAAATTCTGGCAAGATAAGACTACTTCGATAAGGTTAATAAACTGTGGTTGCGTTTTCGTACTATACTGTCTTCTAGTAATCGTCCACTTACTCCCACAGAAGACGTTTATACAACCTGTGTGTGTGTATTTTTGTGCGACAACAGACATGTTGATATTGGTGGCAATCGCGTAATTGTTTTAGAACTAAGCGACGTTTCTAAAATTAACTGAAAAACAAGAAGAAAATTTATGCATTGTAGACATTGGGTATCTAAATTAAGCCGCATGTTTTCTTAAAAACAGGAAATTCTTGGGGTTTTATAGAAGAACGTAAATGAATTTCCGCAAAATCTAAGGTTATTTTACGAAAAAGCTTTAAATCACGAGAAGTCTGGTATTTTTATGTCTCATTTCTACGGAATTTTCTAGTGAATCTTCTCGAAAACAACTCTCAAAATCGGGCGATCGAGATAGCTTACTAAAATTGTGTCGAGCAGTCTTAATCTATAAAGCTATGGTATTTATTTCTCAAAAATTATAACCCTGTCGTTTCGCTCTCCCAACATGAATGCTTTTTTCAGTTTGTTTATTATCGTCATTTCTGCTGAACGTCTACTCTGTTGTGAGATGTCAGTCAGCTACAACGTAGGACCAGGCATATATATGCATCGGTCCAGGTTGCCATACCGCATTAGCACAGCAAGATGAACACCAGATTCATAGGAGTAATTAGGTCAAAGGTGGTAATATATAGGAGAAAGATTGCATATAAGGATACAGTACAGGAAGAAAGAATTAGTTAGAAAGAGAGATATGAAGTGATTTTAATCTCTTAGTTTAAGGGAAGACAGGGAGTGTATACACCGACGCCATTGTGATCAATTCTGAGTCATGTCACCAAGAGCCTCCAACCATCGGTTACGAAAGTCACGCGGACCCCAACCAAGTAGTCTGCATCTACCAACATGGCTCAGACTAGAGGTCAGTGTCTTCAAGCACTGATGCCACGTTTTGGTTTGGCCGCCCCTAACTTTCTTCCAACCATCTCTAACACCAGTTAGCATTGCACGACGTGGTAATCGGTGTTCAGGCATACATAACACGGCTCAACCATCTCAGTCGATGAAGATTAACAAACCTCATCAACTGATTTACCATCATTACCTAATACCCTACGTCTAACCTCACTATTGCTGCCGTAAAGTAAAACAGAACGGACTACCGCGCAGTATACTCGTCCTTTTATTGATAGACGGATATCTCGCCCTCGCCAAAGGTGACGTAATTTGGCAAAAGCCAAACGAGCTTTTCGAATCCGTGCTGAGATTTCGTCCGATACCAGCCCATTAGGGCTGATCAGACTTCCAAGATAATTGAAGTTGTCAACGTGTTCGACTACTTCACTCCCTATCCTTAGTTCAGGTGTTGACGCAGACCAGTCCTGAAGCAACAACTTGCATTTAGAGGGAGAGAAGCGCATTCCAAACATCCTGGCATTGTTGCTCAGTGCTACCAGAAGACTGCATTTTGTCAGCGTCTTCACCAAACAGGACTATGTCATCTGCATATTCTAAGCCGATAAGTGGACCTCCTGGTAGGAGATCAATACCCGAGAATTCCGTCGACGAGAATGTTATTTCCATCAGTAGGTCTATGATGAAGTTAAACAGAAATGGAGAAAGTGGACAGCCTTGACGGACACCACTTGAGGTTGCAAAAGCAGATGACAATTCGCCATAAGCTCTGACTCGATTAGTAGTGTTCGAGTAAAGAGCCTTCACAAGGTTTATGCACTTCTGAGGTACGCCTTTCAATGACAGACACTGCCACAGAATCTCGCGGTCTACTGAGTCAAATGCTACTTTTAAGTCAAGAAAGACCACCATTGTCGGACATCGGTAAGTATGCCTGTGTTTTAGAACCTGACGAATGGTGAATGTGTGGTCGATGCATCCACGACCAGGTCTGAAGCCAGCTTGGTTCTCTCGTGTTTGCAGTTCACGAGTCTTAGGCGTCTGATAATTATCGAGGCTAGTATTTTAGATACTATATTAGTTAAACTAATCCCTCTGTGGTTGTCACAGGATGATTTCGACCCTTATATATTGGGACGATAAGTGATTGTGACCAGTTAGATGGGATAACGTCTAACTCCCAGATATTAGCTAAAATATTAGTCAACCTAATGGCTAAAATTGGACCACCATCCTTAAAGACCTCTGGAGCCAATCCATCTTGACCAGCTGCCCTTCCTCGTTTCAGATTAACTATAGCCTTTTGAACTTCAGCAAGAGTTGGGGGACCTACTTCAATGTTCCATTCACACTGTCTGGGAATGGAGGGTAGTTGTAGAGTAGCTGAAGGCCAGCTGAACTGTTCTCTGAAATGTTCCGCCCATCGTTCTAAACGCCTGGACTGGGAGCAGATGAGAGTATCGTCTTTTTCCGAAATAATCTCACTTACACTTGACTTATTAGTTCCAGTTTCTTTTATTAGTCTGTAAAGCTGTCTTGTGTTCCCTATAGTCGCTGCCTTTTCCATCTATTTTGCTTTCGTCGCCCACCACTGCTCACGGTGGTTTCTTAGACTTTTTCTTAACCTAGATCTGATTTGTTGTCGCTCTTCATCATGTTCGGAACCTGATGGGACGAGTTTGTGAGAATTCATCAGTGTGATAGACTTTGAAGAAATCCACTGGTTCTTTGTAACTTTGTGGTTTAAGTCACTAATAGATTTCATTGCTGTTTCCACAGCTGTTTGTATATCTTTCCAAGCAACATATCGGTCAGCCTCATTTTCAGAGCTACCTGAGTGTGACCTCAGTTGTTCCTGGAACATGTGAGATATCAGATTTATCCGGATCTATGTTAATATAACTTTATCCTCATCTTAAAAGTTTCTAATTAATCATAGGGGAAATAAGGACACCTGCAATCATAAATTTAATTCTGAATAATGATATTCGTCGTAATACGGCAAGATTTTAGCATGCTAATAACAATGAGCAGATACGTAGCATGACAAAAATGTTGCTGTTTTGATAGTATAAAACTGGTTGTTACAGTTCGCTCGATATGTTATAATATATGATGGTGACTTTTTTTGTTTCATAGGTCGTGGATTTTTTTTGGTATATTGTTCACTGTTATCAAAAAATACCTAAAGACTCCTCAAATGCTTCAAATACCGTCGATTAATCGGTAGTTCGTTTCACATTATTTTATCCATTTTTTAGAAATTCGTCAGTTAAAACATCACTTTCAACGATCAACGTTTTAAAACATATTGTCGAATCAGGAGATTGGTGTGATCTAAAGTAATTTTCTTAATTCTAACAGTATGGTAGAAGTTTGATTGATTTGATTATAAGAAAGTTACATGATCTCTGTAAATACTCAGATGACAACACCGTAGTCCTCAATACAACTTTGAGGGTTCTAAAAGCTTTTCGTGAGGAGGCACTCAAGTATGTGTTTTCCTGGTTTATATATCTTCGTTATATAGGTTCCAAATGGGGGAAAATGCAGACTTTGAGGAGAATTTAACAGTTTGTTGATATATGCCTGACCTTTTTGTAGAACCGCCTTTTTGCTGTAGGAAATGAAGCTTATGAAACAGTTTCTCGTAATGATATTTTAGAGCCTATCGTTAGTACACTGGATGATTTGGCACTTGAGGTAAAATCTTGTCTAACAAGTTTGGGTGACTTATCTCTGGATTTTATCCATTCCGATGAACTCATCATGACTTCAGGATATTCCAAGGCAGTACACCATTTTCTTCGTGTATGTGCTACATTCTTGATATCATTTTTTTAGCACGCAGCGAAAAGAGGAAGAAATTTCAAAGTTATAGTCTGTGAATGTTATCCTGACAACTTGGTAATTAGTAGATCATTTTGTTTAATTTTAAAAGGGACATAAAATAGCTGAAGAACTATCAAAGGATGGTGTCGATGTCATTCTAGTCCCTGATAGCCATGTTTTTGGCTTGATGTCGCGAATAAATAAAGTAAGATTTGTGGGCCATATTAATCTTCTAGGTAATTGTTAGCTGCCAGGCTGTGTATCCTGATGGAACGTTAAAAGCTAGGGTGGGGACTTATGGCGTTATGCTTGCAGCCAAAAGTTTTTCGATTCCGGTAAGCTGTTTGATATGATAAAGATTAGCTACATATAGGTACTATGGTTAAGGCCAACTTTTAACTACTAGGTCGCAGATTCGCGTATCACCTCACTTACTTCGGTTCAAGCTGGCTCTTAGTAAGACTAGCCCTCACATGTTAATTGTGGCTCACAGTTGAGTACACGAATCTACACTTTGTAAATGGATTACATTATGCAATATTTAACATATTGTCGATTGCGACCATTTACGCTTCCTGCTTACAGCCGTTTAGGTGTATTCATGATGGTATTTAGCTGTTGGTTATTTCAATACCGTCAAGACTAATAAATACGAAGATCCATGTTACTCGGCTGAGTGCTTTATTCAAGTTCTACGACATTGGTTGGAATTTACGTTTGCTTAAATTAAATCACATTATGTTATTTCGATAAATACCATTCATCATACTTGATATTTCCAACTCCTATTCATTCTACAATTGTAATTATTCGTTTTTATTTTCTTTCATGGCGTTTCTCTGATGATATGTTTGCTTTGAGCATAATGATTGTCTCTTTAATTAGTACTTCGTTGAAGATTTACAATAAGACACTATCATATAATCATTTTATTACAGCAATTCATTGAGTGACAATAAGAATAAGGCAATTAAGTATAAATATTTAATGTTATTGATAGAACTAGTAGTTCTGAACATCGGCTCTCTTAGTTAACCAAAGGAGGAAAGAGAACAACAAGATTTATATTTACTTGAACATATAAACATTGGTACAAGGGGGCACCAAATATATATGCACCTTACAATACAAATGTGGTTGTGAAGGTATAAAATAGTTAGGATAATGAAAAGGAAGAACAAAAATCAATAGGAATTGGTGTGTAAGTGTGATATAACAATAATATAATTATATCAATAGTGGAAGAAGCAGTTCATTTGGGAAACATTCAGCGGAAAAGAATTGTTTTAGTAAAAGTAGTTACATTCACTTTTATAAAGAGAGTAAAGAAAAGTTACAGCAGGGTCGCCATTGACTTCTTTTCTGAGCCATATTTGATAACTTCCATATGCACTGTGCTGCACTCTGCTGCAAATTTAGTCCATATATTTCCAGACTCCATCTTTTACATTCAGCAGCAGAAATAGGTACGTACATCAATAAATTTCAATCTTTGTGCACAGGAAAGTTTTGTTCATCCTCTTAATTTACCATGGCCTTCTCTGTAGTTGCTAGTTTTTCAAAATTTTCAATTCTATTTTACTGTATTTTACGTGATCTATCTAACTTAATAATCTGGTTACTTAGTTTTCGTTGTACCCGTTTTAGGAATTCTATATTATTAGTTTTACGAATAACATTAAATGTTTATGTTCGATTGTTTTATTTTTACCTAATGAATCGCTAGGATCAACCGATTATGTGATTGTGCTTTCCGATTTAATTTTACATTTGTCGGGTTTCTATCTGGTTACTAGTTCACAGAAAACATTGTCGAATTGACTAACCGCCATTTATTCGATATTGATTAATTTTTGATTACAAAACTTATGTATTAGTATAGAGCCGTGATGAGGGACATGTGTTTTAATGTAATGGTAATACTTAACATAGGGACTATATAATTATTGCTTAACTAACGCCTGTTAATCTTTTAAGAAATGTGAATAGGCGTTTCACTCAAATGTTTTGATGTATTAGTATATACGGAGTTGATGAATATTTTCGTACTCGTATTTACACATGAATATTTCTGATGTAAATTTAGTCAATATCATCTATTGCATATTCACTGCTTAATATGATGTCCATGAAATGTGATGTTACATCTTTCATTGCTAACTGTTGTAAATTTCAAATGTATGGACTAACTGAAATAAAGTATTATTCACTATGGTGAATCACTGCTTAGACTAAACGTCTTTACTGGTTTCATAGCTTAATAAATTAAACTGGAGAATATGTTCATTGTAAGGGGAGTTTGGTTTGCAAAGATTTGTTTTGAAGACAAGATAGGTCAATATTCATGTGCATTTAATTAAAAGGCACCCTTTTTTAATTTTCAGATCTACGTTTGTTTGCTGCATCACAAACTCTCTCCTATTCCATTCAAGCACTCTTCTCGATCAACACCATCATTTTCTGTACAGCCTACTGCTAATCCCAGTGATAGTTCGCCAGATTGGCTGGATAGCCCATCAGTTATTTTACCACCAAATGAGCCTAAACTAATTAACGAAGGGTTAGTTTATCATCAACCTAGCGAAGGTCCGGTTGTTTGGGTTCCAAAATGGGAAATTATACCTTCGGGTCTTGTCAGTTTATTTTTGACAAATCTTGGCACTCATGCCCCATCATATTTATATGCTCTTGGACGAGAATTGTTCCACTCTGCAGATATTAAGACAATCATGATATGGGACCAATAACTCATATGATTTGTGTAAAATATTTTTAAAAGTATTTTCTTTGGTTAGGAAGTTTTTATTTATTCAGTAAGTGGCTTCATATAATGATAAGATTTAATAATACCCACTCACTTAAAAAATAAACTCCGAGAAGTTTGATTATTGATGTGTGTAAAGACGACGTATAATCATTTTGACTTGTGTACCTATTGTATTTTTCACCATGCGTTCAATGTTAATGTATAGCTGTCATATTTGTAAGTTACTACAAAGTGATCACGATTAGTTGTCGAATAAAAAGCAGGAACCTTATCAACTTTTGAGTACTTATCCACGAACGTCTTTGTACCTCTATCAGGCGTGAAAAGTATATAATAGTCTGAGATATTAGGACCAATTACCAGTTAGCGCTTACGAAGTATATCTCTTGAAGAAATGTTTAGTGCCTAATGGTATTAGGCTGAATTCTCGAGGTGTTTTGCAATTAGAAAAGTTTTTAGATCAGAATATTATTTAAAAACTAGGTGTTATATTCCTTTAGGGTTTTTACTTTATGTATGAAGTTTCTCTTTTGACGGAAGTAATATACTTCTAAAACTAACATATTTAATGATTATCTGGTTTTACGTATAATTTAACTACAAGTGATGGCTTCTTACTAATTAGTATAGTTTTTCGTTTGTAAGTCTTATGTTAGTCACGTAGATTATCTTGATATTGTGTAACAGAATTTCAGTCAACAGCGACTCGTTTATCTGGTACAAGTTTATGTGCTCAATTTTAAGCCAGTGTTTGTGCATGGAGTAACTATATTAACTGGATGCTTAACATAAAGTGGGTGTTGACGATTTTAAACTCGTAGATTACTGATTGAGGGTCGTTTGGGTAAACAACTTAACAATTTTTTTTAAAAATTACTGTCAATACTAAGAACAATGTATAAGCTCAAGTTAGTGAAAGTGTTAATATTATTGTCCTGTACAACAGTTCATATATGTAGAAGCAGTTAATTTATGTGTGTAAGATTTTATGAATTTAAGTGAGAGAATAGAAATTACCAACAGTTTCATCAAACTGCTTCGTAATTCGTAAGAAATATGATTGTAGATTATGTGAATATTGGTTTTGTAAATGTTACAGTAGTATATGAATACAATTATTCAACGATCACGTTTTTGAGAGGGCAATGACACCCACTAACTCATTATGAATAAAATAATACGGGCTTTGACACTTGTACATAACGAGCACTCATCTACTGGGTGACGATTAGACATTTTGACGAGCGTTATACGTACCTACTTTAATAATAAATGAATTGTTGGATGAGTAGTTTTTCCTAATTTCCGGAAGGATATCATTGTTTTACGTCAGTGAATTCGAAATTGATGACGCAGGCAAATTGATCAGTGATGGTTTCTTGTATCATGTGTTCATTCATAATTTAGTGAAACCATTTAGAGCATAAGCTCTGTAATTTTCTTTGATGAAATATTTCCATAAGTGGTTACGTAATCAAATGATTTGAGACTGATGAACAGAGATAAAGTATTGTTCTTTTGATGATAACTGAATACCATTGAAGCTCAAAAGACGAGAGAATCCTTCGGTTCTGCCCATGGTTATCATCTTAGTTCCTGCAGGTCTATCTCTCATATAATGTTAATAAGTATAAAGCTAATATAAATACTACTCTGAAGGTTTGACGGGTTTAATCAATTTCGAACCTTTGGAGACAAGTATTCCTAAACCTAGATACTACTGATATTCGTACTCATAGTAGAATGAATCTGTAACCGTAGAGAATTTGCTACTTTGCGATATTTTTATATCCATTGATTTTTAGAGGTATACGCCCATCTCAACGACGAATAGTGCAATCCAGTCTTTATTTCTAACTACTGAACAGAGAAATAAAAAACTAAGAACGATCAAAGACTTGAATAATTTAGTTGACTATTCTAGTAAGTCTTAGGAATTTACAATAACCTTAATGAGTCGGACCAATGTCTTATCAAGCAGTAAAATATCAGTTTCTAGAGAAGTGGATTGATAGAATTGCACTGTTTCGAAGCGCTATAGTATTGTGGTGCGTGCTACTTATATTGATATAAGTAATATATAACGTGAGTTAAAAGAACATAATGTCTGGCAGCAGAAGATGGGGAAGATTAAGAAAGGAAGAGCGAGAACACAATGGAATTTGTAAGAAATCGCATGAACAATGAAATGTGAGACAATGGATTGATGTTTGCAACAGCAACAGTCCGGTTTGATATGATGGAATGATATTTTGCAAATTTACGATTTACTATATGGTTTTCTATTTTACAAAGTAACTCTGTAATTTTGTGCTAAATACAATTTGGTTGTCCTCACCTGTGTTCTCCTTCACTACAGTATCACCAATAGTAGTGAAACTACCACAGTATATATTTACTGAGTTCATCTCGAGCATTTAAATTGTACGTGAAGTAAAACTTCTTACGACATGTTCGTTATTCTAATTATCGATGTAGATTAATGTTACAACGTCAAGAAATTTGTGGATATTCGATATCTAGTTAGTGTTTGTTCAAAGTTTGGTTGCAGGTCACTAAGCGATCTTGTTATAAATGAATCCATACGTTGTCGAAAGAGTGTACACTGTTTGTTTCCCTGTTTCAGGAATTACCTGGACCGATAAGTAGTGATTACTTTACGTTGTAATAATACAAGCATTACATTTACTTTATCAAATAAGCTAAAAGTTCAGTCTGATAATCGGACTAACAGATTATTACAATGGGTTTTCGGTTAGTCTCTTGAATACACATTAAGGAGGAAAGCATCACTCATTTGATACCTACCTTTTCCAGAGAATTTGTCTTTAAATGCTTATCATAGGCTTCAGTAGGACCGATCGGTGACTGACACAGAATCCTTGAAATATCCCATCATTACTGACCATCACACTAATTACAGCTGACCATGGGGATTGTTTGATCAAAAAGGCCGAGAGTTCGTGACTCTGAGTTCCAACAGTTTGGGATTCAGGAAATCACTTCCTGTCGAGTAATGCGGTTTTAATACGTACATATCCTAGCTATATTTCGCTAGTTTAGACACCGTCCAATCATAAAAATAGTAAGTAAATTGATCGGCGGTTCACTTTGTGTTGCTCAATATCTGTGAAACAGTCTATGAATGTAAAAGATATGTGTCGGCTGTAGGTGTTTTAATCATAGGTGACTTCGGAGCACTGCTCACGTATCATGGGACGACTAAGGTAAGCGATTTTGAGGTTTTATAGAGCATACTACTATGGGAGATTGATTGATAAGGCTGTGAAGTTTTATCTACTGAGGTGGTTTGAGGATAGTATTGAATATGCATAACCACCGCCTCTCTTGACAGTCTATGTTTATTGTGTTAAGTTCGCTGCTTGATTAACGCAGAATACGGTGTACACCTACGGCACTCAAACGTAAAGAAGCACCACAGTTTCAAATCAAAAGACAAGACTGGAGAAGTGTTTGTTGGGTAAGAATCAAAATGCGCAGGAAAATCATGTATATTTACAGATATTAGCGTTTGCTATGTCAGCATTATAGTTCAGCCAATCCGCAGAGAAATGTTATGCTATTGTTCAATAGTAGCATGCCACGTTGATATTCTAGAAAGCTCCATCACGCTCTGACTGGATTGAAACCCTTAGGCTCCTTTGGAGGCTCCGTCGTAGTTCTTGGAAGCCGTCCTAACACCTCTCCAGGGTAAGGTCTCTTTCTTGCGTCCACTTGTTGCCTGACGACTAATTTGCGACGCCGTTTCATTTTTTCACTCTCTCCGATTTATGTTTTCTTTTCAATATCCTTGGGCGTGTATCGTTGATGCATCTGAGATTAACTTGAGTGCAAGATTCAGCTGATCATCTCGAGTGTGCACCACTCCTTTATCTTTAAGAATTTGGTTTGTGTGTCTGATACATGTGCTACAAGTCCCTCGGACTCTGTAGAAAAAGGTTTCCCAATATTTATACGATTTTACCGGTTTCCATCGATTTTTTCTGAGGTAGGACTTAACGAACACTTTATCTCCAACGTTAAGACTTCGGATATTAAGATTTGGTCTATGCCCATCTACTATTTTGGTTGGCAACATGGTGTTGAAAATAGTTCGAATACATCTTCCAAATATGGCTTCGACAGGGATCTTTCCGTCTAGGATAGTTGGGTTCGGAATAGTTCTGTAGACCGTTAAAATTTTTGTGATTACCTGTCTAGTTGTCCCTTCGCATTCTTTCAGTAATACTCGTTTATAGGTGCCGACAAAACGTTCTGCTTGTCCATTCGAATGGGGATGATAGGGCGGAGAACGTAGATGTGTTATTCCGTGTATGCAACAAAAATACTTGAATGATTCTGCAACGAACTGTGAGCCATTATCAGCCACTAAATTCTCTGGGACTACAAAACAGCTGAACAAAGTAGATAGCCTGCGGATTGTTTCTGAGGCAGTACAATTGGACATACTATATATTTCTGTCTACTTCGTAAATGCATCCACAATAATTAGAAACATTTTACTTTGAATTGAACAGGCAAAATCTGCATGAAGTCTCTCCCAGGGTCTTGAAGGTGTGGGCCAATGCTGTTTCAGACCCATCAGGGAAAATGTCAGTGATGACTGCTCCAATACCATAGTTCAAAGCATCTGAAGCAACCACTATTGATAGGGAAGGATCATAATGCGCCAGCAATAGGTTGGAAGTTTGGAGTCGCTTGGTTTTCTCGAAAGATGCTTGACAGTTTGCCGACCAATCCCATTTTCTTCTCTAGCAGTTGGTTTAATGGAGCACGCAGACGATGGAGATTAGGGAGGAAGGTACCATAATGCCTGACCAATCCCAAGAAAGATCGTAGGGTAGGGATGTTCCTAGGTCTAGGCATAGTTTTCACAGCTTCAATTTTCTTTGGATCTGGTCGTCTTCCATCTTTATATATTATGAAACCGAGATACCGTATCTGCTACACATAAAAGTCACTTTTCTGTGCTAAGGCGAAAACCATACCAGGCTATGCGTTCTAGGACTTGATCCAGTTTCCTCTGCAAGTTCACCCTATCTACTCCCATAGTTATGATATCGTCTAAATAAGCCGCCGCTCCTGGAATACCTTGTAACATGGTATCGATAATTTGCTGGAAAATAAAGGGTGTCGTCTCCACTCCAAAAGGTAGTCGGTTATATCGGAACAGACTCTTGTGTGTGTTAATCGTTAGGAGATCTTTACTTTCATCAGATATAGGGATTTGTAAATATGCGTTTGATTAATACAATTTAGCAAAATATCGACCACCGTTCAGTTTGGCGAAGTGATCTTCCGGTAGGGATATAGGATACTGATGAAACTCTAGAGCTTCATTTAGTCCGGTGGAGTAATATGCACACAAACGGACGCTTTCAGTAGACTTCTTGATCACCATTATTGTTACAGCCCAATCTGAGAGGTTTACAGGTTCAATAACACCGTTTTTTAAGGTCGTTCTAATTTATGTTCAACTACAGGAAGACGCCCAACCTCGAGAACAACAGGCACGATTCCGTAAGGATAGATCGTGTACAGACCAAATCGCAACTCTACGGATCATTGTGGAACAATCAATTGAATAAAATTCACCACTCTACATCAACTTCATTGACTACGAAAAAGCATTTGATACTGTGGACAGAACAACACCGTAGAAGCTTCTTCGACACTACGGCGTGTCTCAGAAGATAGTCAATATCATACAGAATGTCTATGATGGATTAAACTGCAAAATCGTGTACGGAGGACAGTTTGACAAACTCGTTCGAAGTAAAGACCGGCGTCTGGCAAGGTTACTTACTCTCACGCTTCCTCTTTCTCTTGGTGATCGACTGGATCATGAAGACGTCAACATCTAGGGAGAAACACAGCATACAGTGGACAGCTAGGATGCAGCTGGACGATCTAGACCTCGTAGATGAACATGGTGGGTCTGATGCAGATGTGAATGCGCGGATCGGAGAAGCAAGAGCACCATATCTACAACCGAAGAACATCTGAAACTCAAAACAGTTGTCAACCAACACCAAGGTCAGAATTTTCAATGCAAATCTCAAGACAGTTCTACTATATGGGGCGGAAACCTGAAGAACTACGAAAGCCATCATCCAGAAGATATAAGTGTTTATTAACAGTTGTCTACGCAAATACTTCGGATCCGTTGGCCGGACACTATTAGCAACAACCTACTGTGGGAGCAAAAAAAACAGATTCCAGCAGAGGGAGAAATGAAGAAGAAGCGCTGAAAGTGGATAGGACACATATTGAGGAAAGTACTCAACTGTGTCACAAGGTAAGCTCACACTTGGAATCCTTAGGACTAAAGGAGAAGAGGAAGACCGAAGAACACATTACGCCGAGAAATGCAGAGAGACATGAGAAGAATGAACAACAATTGAATAGAACTAGAAAGGAAGGCCCAGGTTAGAGTAGGATGGCTAATGCTGGCCGACGGCCTATGCTCCATTGGGAATAACAGGCTTTAACAAGTAAGTAAGTAACAGGAAGGGCAGCAAAACGCACAGGTCTCTTAGATCGAAAAAAGGGAGTAGCTCCAGAGTTGATGTTTAGTAATGTCTTGGCTTTCGTACATTCTCCCAATTCTTCTGTAAACACATGGTGGTGTTTTTGTAGCACGGCATTTCTCTGAACCCACTCTAAAGGGTTATCATTTCTGATTCGGCTGCAGATGGTGTTAATCGATAGGTTGGAAGCAAGCTATGGTAGACCAAACCAGGACAATAATAATAGTCTATAGAGTCACTGATTGCTTCTCTGAATCATGTAGACGCAGGTCACCCAACTTGTATTCGCTTGATAACCACCACTAGTCGTCAGGTGGCATCCTACAAAATCATTTACAGTGACAGAAACGGGGTACCTCATTATCCTCCTCTAGGTCTTGAGTTACAGTATTTCTTCATACATACTTCATCATTGCCTTTTTGAAACGTATTCTCAATGCTGTCTGTTTCATTATCATTGCTGATACATTACTTTAACTTCTTTTTTAATATTTTTTGAAATTTATCTCCTACCAATGTGGTCTGATAAACTGGAATAACGCACACAGATGCACCAGACCCTACGTTGGTCATGACTGAGCGAAATATATCAAGCCCATATTTACCATACACGACACAAAATAAGATAAGCAAGCATGCACAAAGTGGTTTGGATGGGCGTTTTATTTGGCGAAATTATCTGATGATTATTATTCGGTGTAGTAATAAATTACTATCATTTTTTATCAAGGAGATACATTCGTCATGCTATTTTTAGAAATGTTTCTGTGTTTTTCTTGTTTAGTAGCATTTGTACAACGATATTATTATGTATGGATCTCCTATACAATAGAATACTTTTAACTTTTACTATAATGGGAGTTAATATTGTTTCTGTGTTTTACTTAATGGATTATTTCCCATAAATTAAATATGTATGTTTGCAGTCCATAAAAAGAAACTATATACGGCATCGTTTACAGCTTTTGTTGATTTTAGTCTAATATGTCATTAGTGTTTGATTGAAAACAGTGATCCCGTTATTCTAGTAACTTATTATGCATCAGAGGCTCCAGCCCAAACGATGAAGAAGTACTGATCAATTACCTGAGAGAATTTTATGACGTGTAAACCTTTCCTTATGGTTTTTAGATCCTCCTATCTTAAGATTCATCACGTAAATTAATAGTATATCACTAAATACCCGATGCTGTATTTGTATTTCTTCAAATATTTATTCTAAGTATTAAACATGAGGGATATTTTGTAGGGTGTGAAATATATATTTAACAAATTTAGTTGCTAAAGGCCTGATTTTAATCGCCATCTCATTTGAAAAAATAGAGTTCTTCAAGTGGTATGAACCATTGGATAATAAATTAATGATCTCAAATTAACGCGCTAACCGTGAAAATTGAAGGTTTTGTGTTCAATTTCTGGTGGAGTCGTGTGAGTATACTTTTAATAAATGTCAAACTACAACAAAGTCTCTGTTTAGTAGTTCTTGTATATGTGTTTGTCTAACTAGGAAAGCCGTAATGCAGACTACGAACCACTTTACAAACCTCATAAGTAAACTATATTGTTTTGCAAGTTGTTAGTGCCATGTTACAATATTAATTTTTATTGAGAGAGTTAATTATTCAATGTTAATCCCCAGGCTTTTGTTTAAATTAAGTGTGACTTTTATAAAAAAAATGTAATTGCTTTAATTCATAGGATTATAATAAATAGAAATAAACATTTTCTTGTCAGTTTGATTCCTCTAATGATGCACTTTTTAGTGGTAAACTTCAATTATCATTATATTTGTATTTGTGTGTAAGCATACTCTCATGTAATGGTACATTTCATAAACAATCGACGGAGTAAAAGGCATCATTTAAAGTGCATAAGTATTTATAACAATTATGATGTAATAGACGCGTAATATTGAATAATTTTAAGATAAATATATATACAGTAAAATATTATGAATTCGATTTCACTGTTTCATTATAAAAAGGAAGTCATTAAAATTAAGAGAAATGTATAGAGTAAACATGGAACTGAGTTGTTCGTTTTTCAATATATTCATTATTTTGCTTGTTTCTGTTGATTATACAAAATGTATGTCAAATGTAATAAGTGGCAAAATACTTATACCAGTATCATTTGGGGCTTATGCTTCATTGGATTATCCATTCATAGTATTGTGGGGGGAACATATTTATAGACCTTACAAAATACCATTTTATTATGGTAAGTATAACGATAAATATAATTACTACTATTATCCTAATTATAATTCGCAATCGGTGGTACCCACTGAATACAGTTCATCATTATCATCATATGAGAATTATGGAGATAATCATAATAATGAAATATTGGAAAGTGAACGACAGGAGGAAAATTTATATTATTATGACAGAAATACAAATGATAAAACTTCACCTACCAGTCAAAAAGATGATCGAAGTTATAAAAATGACAATTATCAGACGTCCTTTTATGATAATATTAAATATACCCAGCCAGATTATAACGCAGTTAAGAAAAATAAATCAAATTCTATGTATAGTAAATACAATTACAAGATGCCTGAAGTTACAAATTCACATAACAGGAAACGCTTACACAAAGAATTGACATACAAGTATAAACCTAATGTACATAAACTAAAGAAATTCGGATATAATGATCAATACAAAGTATCAAAGACAGTTTATTCTAATGATAACATTAGAAAATATCGCAACAATAACAGAAAAGTAAGTTATCAATCAAGTAAATCTAATGATCACCATCATATCGATGATCACTATCATTTCGATGATCACCATCATATCGATAATCACCATCATATCGATAATCATCATTATATCGATGATCACCGTCATATCATTGATCAACATCATATCGATAATGAACATCGTATGGATAATCTCCATAATATCGATGATCACTATCATATCATTGATCAACATCATATCGATAATGAACATCGTATGGATAATCCCCATTATATCGATGATCACTATCATATCATTGATCAACATCATGTCGATAGTGAACATCATATCGACAATGAACATCATATCGATAATCACTATCATATCGATGATCACATAATTAGGTCTTTAAACAAGAATAACGATAAGTTTGCAACAATGAAATTGAAATATCATGATCAACTTATTGATTATATGAGTAAACCGGATTATGATAATAAAAATTATGATAAATTTAATTATAGAAAATATCAAAATCCTAAACGTGTTTACAAGAAACCAATGATCAATAGTCAAGAAATGTTAAATGATGTTTATGAAAAAAAGAAATTAAAGAATGGCGATAAAAAACATCGAGAGGAATACAGTCATGATCGAAATGATAAACCAAAACCTGACAATGAAAAGAATTATATTGATAGAAAAATTAATTATGATGAGGAGATAAATAGAAAAGCCCCAAAAAACAAAATGGGTAAATCAGAAAAGAAGAGAGGAGACAATAAGGAAGAGGTTAATAAAGAAGTAAAACATCCAAGTGAAGATGATGTTAGTGTGATTAAAGTGGTCAATGAATACGCATAAACATAGAGTAATGAATATAATAATAATGTAATGATAATTTAATCCTAAATATAATAATTTAATATAATAATATGGTTGCCTTTTTATAATTCTCTTATGAACTGTTGATCATTCATTCTGAAAATCAAAATGAACTTGAATGAATAAAAGTTGATAAAATGATTATGCAAAGAGACAGGAGACCAAAATTGCGTAGCAAACTTTATTGCCAGTAGCTAAATAGTGGTGCTTGTAGTTCATACAAATATTTAGGTGATCAAAATGTTATAGAAAAAAAAAACAATCTTTTATAAGTGACAATGGTTACGTGAATAATTTACCAATCATAGCTTGATCATATTTGGATCTTATTTACTGAGGAAAATCTTACGTCATTATGTGGTTTGTACAACTTGATTTTGAATGTAATTCTTACAGAAATTGTAAATAGCTAATTTTGCAATACTTTTTATCCATAAACTTGGTTTATTTGAAGTTGGATTTCAGAGACGTTTGTGCCAAAATCTAGCTGCCTGTTTACTTTTAGAAATTTAGAACTAAATAAATTCAATTCTTGCATAATATATGTTATTACTTCTGCTTTCAAATAGGCGGTTTAAGGCTTCATTATGAAATTATGTTTAGCAATTAGATATAACAGACTTTTCCGAACAATAAATTTTACGGTTTAAGAACGAAAAAAAAATTCTCTTAAAAATAAGTCATAATCAAAACAAAATACAAAAGAAACTTATACGAAAATGAACTTTTTTGACTAAACAAACAGTTTTTGAACTAATAGCCTCCCAAATTAGTGATTAGATGCTACAGTGAGCAGGTAACGTCAAGTTAGAAAATACAACTTACCATTCTTACAATGGGTTAATTCAGTGATCTCGAAGAATTAAAGAAATAGAGGTAAATAGGAAAATAGACTTCATAAAATATATAATTGGTATTTTAAAAGGAAATCAGTTCAATTTATCTAAGTCTCAGTATTAATAAACTAGTGGATTGCTCACTACGATATTAGATTTGAAAGTAAGTAATTTGATAGATGTTGATACTATGGCTGGATTACCATAATATTTCTAGGAGGAATTGCTACATTTCCAGTTACCATTATATTAAATGGGTCACTACTCATAAGGTTATATTGACTTATTTAGCTTTCCAACACTAAAGTTATGTTCCAACTTATTGATATAACTTGTTGCAGGTGTCTTCGAACATAATTTCGTATTACATCGCCTTCCTCCTCCTCCTCAAATCATCAAAACTCTTGGACACAATTCGACATAGTCGACAGATTTTAATCGGGACTGAGAAATAGTGTGGTTAATTTAGATACTTCACTTTAAAATTGGTGTTTTATTGAGTTAACTCCAAATCTACTATTTTTCAGACATATAGTTTAAAGTTTTTGTAAAATAATTGGTATAAATTTTAAGTAGTTTAAGAAAAACTACGACTTTGTTTAATTGTGTTCAACCATAGAAAAATTCTCATAATTCACTCAGTTTTAATTTTCTCACCGAAAGTAGTAAAATACATTCAAATACGTATATGAATAAATTTACAATGCTAAACTTTAGTAGAAAACAATGTTTTAAGTGTGGTCGTTGTGTGTAATCGACTGAAATCCATGAGCCTGGATTTTATGCCTATTAGAGCACATTAGCAATTCATGTTTTAAATTTGAGGGTATCGACGTCCTGAATGGGATTCAAACTCGATTAGTTCGATTTTAAGATAAGAAGCTGGAAAACCATTGGAATCGATGGGAGACTTTACTGCAGTTTTTCCATTTTAACATTTTGACAGAAAGCTCTTTGTGGGGAAAAGACTGATATTATTAAATACGAGCCATTTACTTTCATCTCAGTGCCCCTAATATAACGATATCCCAGCAAGAAAGATTACTGAACTCTATTCCTGGTGTGGTCGCATATTACTGAGGATTCACAAAACACGATAAAAGTTTTGTCCAGAGCTTTCTATGTTCATAGGTGATATCACTTCCTAATAGGAAATATCTTCAAAACTTATCAATTTTGATGATTCGTTTTAGTCATTAATATTAATCATGGAAATAAAGAGCAAGAATTTAAGTACTTGGCTTAAAAAAATGTTTATGATTAAAACGGGGTTTTGTGGAGATTGTAGTAAATTTAATAATTGAATTCGTTAGTCTATGTAAGCTAAACCACCATTGAAAACCTGGAACCACTGAAGGGCCGTTTCGTCCTAGTACGGGACTCTTTGATAGTGCGCATCCACGATCCTGCATGCGGGACTCGAGCCCAGAACCTTCGGTCTCGTGCGCGAACGCCTAACATCCAGGCCACTGAGACGGGATCCAATGGTGTTAATGTCTAACTTCAATCTATCCATGATCTTGTGCAACCATTCATCTACTGTCTGAGGTAGATTCTGTCTCTACCCGGCACGGATTCGACCCATGAATTCAACTATTAAAATCACCACTAATCCCACAAAACCACCATTCCGACCATAATCATCATGTGCTCACTAATGACCGGCTTCAAGACAATTTCCTGGAGTTATATTTATAAGTCAAACAAGTACTCTTGGGTATTTCATACAGTGTTTTTCGTATGGGATCAGAACCACTGAATTCACTACCATTAGATCTTTTAACAAACGAGCACATGTGCTATAAATGATTATCCACAGACTACTAACTGTAGAGTTGAAATAAGTAATGGAACCACGGTAGATGATCGAGGTATATCAGTAATATATATGATTACTGAATTCTGCTCTTAGCCTTGTGAGAAAAGGACATCTTAGTTATTGAGTGTTATGACCCGATGAGAATAATGAATGGTAACTTTTGGGATCCATTTATGGACCAATACTGTAGGTATATTTTTATCGTATCATTGTTAAATAAATAAACTATTCATATTCATGTTCCTCTTATTTTGACCTATGAACTATTATTATACGATTTACCATTCTTGAGTTATGTCTGGCCTATCAATAACGATATGTGAATTTTGAGATACCAAGGTTATTTCATTCTTGCTTACTTAGAATGAACACTACAAAAAATCAAGATCTAACTAATCACTTTATTTCTTACAAACTAGAGCAACTAAAACCGATGTATTGTCATAATGAGATCAGTATAGATCCAGTGAGTGAGTGTAACGAAAAGTAATAATCCGTTACAAATAATTACAGTAATAAATATGTTTCATTTTTAGACGGTCGATGTTTTACCAAAAAAAAACAACAACGTTTTGCAGCAAATCTCAATAGATTTTTCAAAATAATCATTAAGAATTTGATGAATAACCAATTTGGAATAAGAAGAGTTGTGTTGTGACTTTAAACCCGGTTAAATATCGCGTGACTTATTCGCCAATCGGAATATGACTTGAAATTTAGCAGTGTGCCAAACCAACGACGTATCGACCGGTATGAGCAGCCTAGCGTCCTTATTTGTCCTTTTTCCTCTCAACCCTACCGGTTGAGTTCAGAACACCAATACTAGCTTCCACTGTGCAAACCATTTATTTCAAACATACCTGATTTATACAAGCTTAACAGGCCACATCACACCATAAAATAGGAAGTAACGTTAGTACAAGACCAAGCCAAAAAGTGGCTGTGAACGTGGGAGACCATAATCAATAAACTGAGCATAATTTAAGAATAGTAAATCGTATAGTAATAGTCTATAGGCCAAAGTAAAGCTTGTAGTAAGAGGAGTATAGATACATATAATCTAGTTACTGAACTGTTATACAATAAGAATATACGTATAATATTTGTCCATAAATAGACCTCAGAAGTGACCTATAATTTAATATTCACTTGGATATAACACCTCCCCTTTTTTGAAGATTAGAAGTTTAGATCCTGAATAAAAAATATACGCAGCTTTAAATTCGCTAACATTATCTTCCCTCACGAAACAGTTTTGGATCCTCATATCCCCAAGTTACAAATAATGTTATTTTATCTAAAAACATATTTCTCGCATTTGAATATAGAATCCATTAGAAGTGACTAAATGGTGAGGATGAGCGACATTTAATTTGAGGTCATCAGGGTTTAATTCTTCAGAAATATTTTCCTAAATTCATTAGAATCTCATTAGTGGATAATGGGTCACTAGGAAAATCAACACTTATCAAAACTGCATTAGACTTTTGAAAGTGAATAAAACATCCATGGGGCTCACAGTGATCATACAGAGCTTCGAGTTACTGAAGTTAGATTTAGTTCAGTATTTCATGGGGAATGGTTAAAATTGATTGTTTTTTTGTAAACTCACATCGATTGAAAAACCACTTCAAAGGGAAGGACTGCAAACTTCTTTGTTATTTTATAAATCGTCTATGAGGAGAGATCGTTTTCTACTGTTGATGACTCTCACTCTAAAACAAAACAGCTTTCAGTGACATTTATTTTTCCATGGCTTTCCACTGGACGTCAGGTTTTGATGAAAACTATCTCTTTTAATTACTACCATTATATATCTCACCAATTAATCTACTTAATGAATTATGCAGTCATTTATCCTTTGGTGGTATAGTTTTCCTTTTTTCTGTTACTATTAACTTACAATGTTACCGTATTATCGCTTGCACATACAATACAAAGTCACAAGCTTTTTCAACAGATACTATATTCTTATTATTGTACGGATCTGATTTTTATTATTAATTATAGGGGGCGCAATTCATGATTTTTAAATGATGCGTGATCACTGTGGGATACCAATAGTGAATAAATACAAACCCTTACATTTGATAATAAATATCTGACCTTTTAAAAAGTTGGCGACTATAATGACTCAGTAGCCTAGTGGCTAACGTTCTGCAGTTTGTAGCAATGGTACAGAGCCAAAGTTTCAATGAATAGATTAACACAGACGTTATTATATACAACTGGCAAACGCCGAATTAGATGAAACTGGTTTCCTAAACACTATTTAAAACATATTATCGGCTTTTTGTCTCTTAATATATTTTACTTATTTGTTAAACAGATAAGGGTTAGGGTCAGAAGATTAATTTCAAATTGTTAAAAATAGTAGTAACAAATACTGCTTCGTGAATCTAATTTCTATTATGTATGTAATTCTATAGCGGCTAGCAGTAGAATCAAGGACGTGTGACCAATTATGTTTGGGATTTATCAGCTGGATGAAACTCACAAAAGAGATTGGTCAGTTACGGTCCTGAATATCAATAACTGTAAAGTGTAAAACAAACAGTTTGAAATAATCCAAGTAGAAAGCATTTAAATGACAGTCTTAATGCACTCAGTATTACACTTTACATTTTCAATACAAATGTGAACTTTGCAACAATATAAAGCGTTATTTGTAAATTACGCAAAATATTGAATTTTAACGAATGTACTTCATGAGTAGCTTTTATATATAAAGCCTCAAGTATATACAGTGTAAATGCCTTTGTTTAAGTAATCATAGCATTGCTGTTTTTCAGGATTGAAAAATGAATTTATTAGTATTCAGTATACTAATAACTTATATACTGGATAGCGTTTATAGTGCACACAATGGATATACTAATGGAATTGACACAACTACCAGTCATCATGGTGGAGGTGAAAGTCAGGAAAGTTCTGTAGATGTTTATGACAAATATTCCAATGGTAAAATATACAGTAATGAGTACACGAGCGATGATTCCAGCAAGTACACTGACGGTAAAATCTATGATAAATATGGTCATGAAAAGGGAGACGATAAATATGCTTACGGCAAAAACCATGGAAAAAGTTACGATAAATATGCTTATGACAAGTACGGGTATGGTAAATATGGATATGAAAAATATAGTTACGACAAATATAGTTATGGGAAATACGGATATGACAAGTATGGTTATGATAAATATAGTTATGAAAAGGGTTACGACAAGCATGGATATGACAAATATGGCAAGGATAAATATGGTTATGAGAAAGGTTACGACAAATATGTTTCTGATAAATATGGTTATGGAAAAAGCTACGACAAGTATGGCTCTGACAAAAATAGTTACGAGAAGGTTTACGACAAGCATGGCTCTGATAAGTATGGTTACGAGAAGGTTTACGACAAGGATGGCTCTGATAAATATGGTTACGAGAAGGTCTACAAGTATGGCTCTGACGAAAATAGTTATGAGAAGGGTTACGACAAATATGGCTATGACAAGTATGGCTCTGACAAATATGGTTACGAGGTCTACGACAAGTATGGCTCTGACAAAAATAGTTATGAGAAGGGTTACGACAAATATGGCTATGACAAGTATGGCTCTGACAAAAACAATTATGAGAAGGGTTACGACAAATATGGTTACGAGGTTTACGACAAGCATGGCTCTGATAAGTATGGTTACGAGAAGGGTTACGACAAATATGGCTATGACAAATATGGTTACGAGAAGGTTTACGACAAGTATGGCTATGACAAATATGGCTCTGACAAATATGGTTACGAGAAGGGTTACGACAAATATGGCTCTGACAAAAACAATTATGAGAAGGGTTACGACAAATATGGCTATGACAAGTATGGCTCTGACAAAAACAATTATGAGAAGGGTTACGACAAATACGGTTACGAGAAGGTTTACGACAAGCATGGCTCTGATAAGTATGGTTACGAGAAGGGTTACGACAAATATGGCTATGACAAATATGGTTACGAGAAGGTTTACGACAAGTATGGCTCTGACAAATATGGTTACGAGAAGGGTTACGACAAATATGGCTCTGACAAAAACAATTATGAGAAGGGTTACGACAAATATGGCTATGACAAATATGGTTACGAGAAGGTTTACGACAAGTATGGCTATGACAAATATGGCTCTGACAAATATGGTTACGAGAAGGGTTACGACAAATATGGCTCTGACAAAAACAATTATGAGAAGGGTTACGACAAATATGGTTACGAGACGGTTTACGACAAGCATGGCTCTGATAAGTATGGTTACGAGAAGGGTTACGACAAATATGGCTCTGACAAATATGGTTACGAGAAGGGTTACGACAAATATGGCTCTGACAAAAACAATTATGAGAAGGGTTACGACAAATATGGCTATGACAAGTATGGCTCTGACAAAAACAATTATGAGAAGGGTTACGACAAATATGGCTATGACAAATATGGTTACGAGAAGGTTTACGAAAAGCATGGTTCTGATAAATACGGTTACGAGAAGGGTTACGACAAATATGGCTATGACAAGTATGGCTCTGACAAATATGGTTACGAGAAGTATGGCCATGAGAAACATGGTAACGACAAATACGGTTACGACAAGTACGGGTATGACAAGTATGGTTATGGAAAAGATTATGAGAAATACGGTTACACCAAAGAATATGGTAAGCATTATAAGGATTACTATAAGAAATATGAAAAATACGATTATGGTAATAAATATGAATACAGTGATAGTAAAGATCATGATAAGCATGATCATGATGAACATGACCATCATGACGACCACGACCACCAGCATCATCATCATGGGCATGACCACCATCATCATGGACATGATCACAAACATGGCAAAGGATACTAACTACAGTGGATAACTTCTTCCTAAGATATATAAAAGCTAAAATTAATAGTCGCAGTAAAGTGTCTTTCTTATTGTTTTTTCGAGTCAATTGGTGAATCATATAGACAGTGGAAAAAAGCCACTTCTAGTGTGATAATAAAAAAACTAGTTTTCATTTCCGCTAAAATAATAAAAATTACTAAAATTCCAACGATTGTAGACGTTAATTTTATTTGTTAAGCTATATTGTATTAGGCATATGAAGAGAAAAAATTTAACTAATGGATAAAAATTTATAAGATCACAGTGCTGACGGATGAAAAGTTGATATTACTGTTACACGAGTAGCATCAGAATGGTAATTACGTTTATTATAGAGGGATTATAGATAGATATCATACATGTAGTTTAATTTGGAGAGTTATGCGATTAGCATCTTTTTTATTTAGATTAACTTGTTGAGTGAATCTAAAATGTTTTTAAAATAAAATATATGCGCGTATATGTTTTAAACCAAAAACTTTTTGATAGATTTACAACGTAAATTACGTGTGCTCAGATATTTGAGTATCCAATTATGATACTGAGGTCGGGAACTGATCTAACTTTGACGACTTTTGGGAACCTGGGATGCTACTTCACTCTGGTATTAGAACCCTCGCCAATGCCCATCCACGACCCTGCATCTTGGAATTGAACCCTAAACCTTCAGCCTCATAAGCTAACGCCTAAATCCTAGACATTTCAGCCGGCATTCAACAGTGTCAATGTCTAGCTTCAATCAACTCACCGTACTGCACAACTCCTACCTGTTACCTGCAATGGATGGCTGTGAAAATTTTACAAATTCCCCATAATATACATTTCTTAGGTAATATATTTGAGAGTTCGAGCCCTAGTAAGGTCGTGAGTGCATACTGTTGGGGAGCTCCACACTAGGATGAAATGGGTTCCTGGTTTTCAACAGTCGTTTAGCTAATATCAGTTTGAGGTGTAAGACTACGGATCGGGATATACATGATTTGACCCAAGATTTTACTGAACTGGTGGTGTAATTTCCACTCATAATCCTCATACATATAGTTTTACCATAGTACTGCCTTGTCAATTTAATGATATTTTTCAGTGGTAACGAATCTTTGGTATGTGGAAGAAGTTTTTCATCTAGTTAACCTAAAATCATTAGCAGACATCTTTCATAAAACGAATATTATGTGATAGTTATAATTGGTCAGCCTTAATTTCATATATGTTATGTCTAGACTGTTATCACAATATTTTCAAGTAGGCTAACAAGTGGACAAAGCTAGTTGGTTATGAATTGACATGTAGATTTCTGTTGAATACTACTTATAAATAGTTTGACAACCCACAGTTCTCAGATGTTTATAGAATATTTAGTATGTGGTTTGCGGTGCAGTCTAGAAAGCGCGTCCTGTCCCCCTTTGGATTCGTCAGCTAAATGTACCACCATCCCACTATTAATACTCACACTGAGATCGGAGTCCAGTACCTTTTACTTCTAATGAAAACGGATTATCCAATTATTCAGAAAATATTTTACTGGTAACAATACATCTATTCTAAATAACTTATGACAAAATAGCTGTATCGAGACAATCCATGAATGTTCCGCATGTGGTAGTAAAGACTGATCAAAATTCAGTTATAATTATTAACCATGGGATAACTCAGAGGCTAACTAATAGTAATATGATGTATTAGTAATGGTTTAGGTTTTTCCGCTGTTAAAGTTCAGTAATTCTGACAAATCCTCAGGGAATCGTCTCGATGAAACGTGTCCTGGATCGGACTCCTGTATACAAACCAAATATACTAAGAAGTTGTGACTAAAGGTCCAGGATGCATACGAAGCAAAGGAGACCGACTAACTGCGGTCCTGAAAAACGACGGGAAATTACGAACCCGTATCAAAATACAGATGGTTTAAAGTCATAAATGTTATCAAATGATGAACTAACAGGAACTAGGAAGCACTAGACAGAAATCTTATTCCAGTATGGAGGTAGTTAGCTGCTAGTAACCACGACTCCATGTATAGTCGAACTCAGAAGTACCTTATTCTTTGAACTACACCGGGATTCAGTGGTTCATATATATAACTTCAGTCAACTTAAGATATAGCGAGGTAACCACTCAGTGACTTTGGTAATAGTTGAAATTTGACAAGTTACTTCATAATCTCCTTACGATCGGTTTAGCAGACAAATGACGACGGGCAGAGCTCATTTTTCTTTATTTGGTACTGAGGTCTGTCATGAGGTAGCTTTGGATCAGTTTTACTAAAAACTTTCCTGACAGCAGCCAATAAAAGTCTCTACAATACAGTGAAATTATATTACAATTTTATAATTTTTGACGTTTTTTAGGGAGCAAACTTCACGATATTGTAATTTCTGTTTGTTCGAAATATGAAGATCACTATATTACCTCACCATAATACAATAAATCATCAAATATCATCGAGGATTTTGAGTTTCTAAAGAAAAGTTTATCACGAAGATGTATTCAAGTCATTCTAGGGGTTCGGAAAGTATTTCCCACTTTGTTTTCGTAAAAAATGACACTAAGGGGATGACATTTTGATGCATGTGTTTAGGTTTATTAGGTAAAATGTTCAGAAGTACAAACTATTTGATCGGATACAAGATCCTCAAGGAATTAATCCTTTCAATAGAGATGAAATAGAAACAAGAAGACATTATCTGGTCTATATCCATCACACATTGATTGTAAAAATAAATCCTATTTATAAATACCAGAAAACATTTTATGGATCTTAAAATTAGTATATTAATAGGGTTGTATATTGTAATTACGACTACACAGATTATTGAAATATAAGATATCGGTGATTGTCGAACATAAGACTATAACATTGTCACCCACTTAGAAAGACAGTTTCATAGAATATTTCCGCTGCACAGTATTGCTGAAAAGTTGTTCAGTTTATATACCCAATTAGTATTCGTTGTTAAATTAGTGATGTCAATTATGTTAAATAGACACCCAATATATTGGAAAGTAATCGCCTCTAAAAGCATGCACATCATAGCTGAAATTAAAACTAGAAAATAATAAACGGATATTATGAACTGAGAGACCAGTCCCTTGTTTCAAATGCTACACTTCGAGAACGTATATTGAATAGAAAAACTGGTAACAAGAAAGGAAGTATGAAAAGGATAGTCACTGATCACGGGTATTTATATCACTTAAATCACTGGAACTACGTCGCATATGGTAATCAACCACTGATTTATACCATCTAGTGTACCAACAACCTACGAACTCATATTACAAAATATCCCAGGATTTATAGTGTACTAATATTGGTTACAACGTTAAACATTCAAGTGAAAAATATATTTAAAACAAAATAGACACTTTTCATATAATTAATCCTTTTCAGACATCCTTACGAGATGAGCATCGATTTCTTCGACCGTTAATTTCCTAAAATTAGGATAAAAATCCGCGTTAGTGACAAATGTACAAGTTAGCAATTCGTTCTAAGGAATCAAGCTACTTAATAAGCGATAGTAATTTAGAAATAAACTAGATAACCAGAAAGACACAAACCATAAAAACAAAGAACCAACACAATAAATAGAGCTTCTAATGGAAAGACACGTTTAATCGTCTGAGGGTTCGATGTAGATAGATAAATAAACAGGAACCTCTCTAAGATCTCTTCGGTGGTCTCCTCCTCTTTCGATTTTTTCAGAGCATTTTTAATGTACCAACAAAGCGTTCCACTTGGTCATTGGATCGCGGAGGTGTTCGGACATAACTGATTCCGTCCTGTCGACAAAATTCTGAGAAGATAGAGGAATTAAGCTGTGTTCCATTGTCGCTATCAATTCTGGAACCCCGAAACGAGCGAATAGTTGACGTACCTTTCTGACTGTATAGCTTGCAGTTAGATATTCCATGAGAAAAATTTCTGATCACTTGTTGTGTGCGTCAACAACCAGAAGGTAAGTTTGTCCATGAAGTGGACCAGCAAAGTCCAAGTGTATATGCTGCCATGGTGAGCGTATTGTTGGCCACGATTGTAGCTCTGCTTTCCGCGGTGCTATTGTTGCTAATGCACATTTGATAGACGAACGGGATAGCTCCTTCAGTTGAGTGTCTAAATGCGACCAGTATACATAACTTCGTGCTAGTCCTTTCATGCGATTTAATCCAGAATGTCCTGCGTGAAACTGACCAAGTACTGCTGGTTGCAGCTTCTGTGAAATTATGACACGTTCGGCAAATAGCAAGCAGTCGTCAATGATCGAGAGTCTACGCTGGCAAAACTGTTATAGCTCTGTGGAGCTGATCTTCGAGGGACACCCTTCTAGGTGGAACTTTCTAACTTCTTGTAGGACTGGGTCTCGAAGGGTTTCTTCTCTGGCTTCATCTGACGACCCTCGAATGTTTCGAATGGTATCTGCCACTATACTCAATATTTCTGGGTCTATTGCTGTGAAGGCAATGATTATATCCTCTGGTTCAGGGTGTTGAACTCAAATTAATCGAGAGTCGGTTTGACCGATAGTATTTGTCGAGTGATACTTGATACTGAAATTATAGCTCAGAAGCATTGTTGCTTAAAGCCGTAATCTATTGGCCGTATAGACAGGGATTCCTCTCTTCAAACCAAAGATTGCAATCAAAGGTTTGTGATCTGTCAGTAGAGTAAACCTACGGTCAAAGTGCATTTTATGGAATCTTTTAACAGAGATAATTATTGCAAGAGCATCCACTTCAATTTGACTGTAGTTATGTTAGGTTTGAAGCTTCACGAGTTCACTTAATCTGCGGACGAGAACAAGGCTCGGTGACCAAAGACCAGTAATCTAGCTATTGATGCGTTCCAGCCCCGCTATCTAGAAGGAGAAGTCCAAGCTTGGTATGGAAAATATATTCTGCAAACAGCTAGAAAACGAGCGAGCCCACAAACACAATTTAAAACGTATATATACAAACATATATAATCGATATTATCATGGGAGATTTTTAAACATTAATCAATGAGTTCATCAATTGACTGCTATTTAATTATTCAATCGATAAGTTAATCGATATGATAAAATTACAAATATGAGTTTTGGGGATATATCGCCCCCAACAAGTTACGCTAGGCTGGTGTGAGTGATCTAGCAACATGAGCAATTGCCTTTCCTGATTTGTCCAGAAACACGTGAGATATCACTGCTTTAACTCCATGACTAGAGGCATTAGATACAACATTTCTCAAGCTAGGATCGAAGTGTGTTAAAAGAAGCTTTGAGCTGAGCAGTAATTTGACTTTATCGAAAGACGCTTGACACTCTGATGACCACTGTCAAGGTAATTCATTTAGAGGACCTCTCACTCGATGCATTTCAGGTAATGATCTAATCTATATTCCGCTAACATGTGTCGTCTTCGAAGTATGATGGGATGAGTTTCAATGAATCCATCAACTCAGTAAGCACCGAAATAACCCATTAGTCTTTCTTAACCTTTGGACTCATATCACTGATAAATATAGGTGTTGTTTTCACAGCTATTTGGATATCTTGCTAAGCTATCTCGTAGTTAAGAGTACCTTCAGGATCGACCAAGAAGCCTTTTAGTTTTTCTTGAAATATACTCATAACCTTTTCATTGTTAAGATAAACTCCAAAGGGGTTTTCTTTTTATAACTTCTCTGAGTCCAATAAGAGGCAGGGAAATGCATGCTCGCATTGGAGCATGAATAAAGTCGTTCCTGTAACAACTATCGGGGGATAAGTCTACTTCCGGTTGCGTCCAAGCTATTGGCTTTCATCACACTTCGTAGGTTGTTCAAAACCCATGAAAGATTGACTTGCGAGGAGCAGGCTGGGTTTCGTTCTGGTCGAGAATGTATCATATCATACATTCTCAATAATTCTTACTGTTCGTTATAAATTTTCTATTGGAATAGTTTGACAAATTCGTTCACCTAATTCTTTATATGTTTTAATCCAAAATTTGTTTGTAGCTAAAAGGTGAAGTAAACTTATCCCGGGAATAAAAGCATCACATTTACCTTGTAA